ATTCCGATTTGTATGCGTTGATTTCGGCCTCGTGAAGTCATGAACTTTTAATGGAGAGAGAGAAAAGGATAAGGTGATATCAATCGTAATCTCGTATATGTGAAATATAAATCACGACCTAATCCTATTTTGCTTAATTTTTGCACAGACCGTATATGTGTAAATATATACAGAAAGGGGTTCATGTGTGTAATTTTCCCCTTTGATTTGGATGGAGGTGGGTTTTGGGTTTAGCCCAATATAAACAATTGTTGACCTTTGCCCAAGTGGGCTCGTGGAACGAAATTGCAATCAGCCCATCTTCAGCTAACGAAATAATATGAATAAAATTCGACTCCACACGTAATTTAAGCTGGTTGTTAAATCAGCCCAGCTTTAGCTAAAAGATATGAGCTGCTTGTTATCTCTACTCCAAAATTCATTCACTCATCAAGACCTTTTATTATTTTAATTATATAGTTTGCTAGTTGAGCTTCCAAAGGATGGATTGATATATATTACTATTGCAATACTATAAAATCAAACTAAACCCCTACATTTCGTATATAAGTTAGGTAGAAAAGTAAACAACTATAGTTACAACTAGGGCGGAAGTCGAATCGAGCAGTTCGCGAGTCGCTCGAGTTTGACCGAACTCGAGTTGAGTTCGACCATGAACTCGAGTCGAGCTCCAGCCTATATTTGCACTGGCGAGTAGCTCGCGAGCGGCCCGAGATATATATTAAAATTACCAAAATACCCCTGGTATATATATGTATCATATATATTAATATGTATTTAATGGTAATTTTATAAAATTGATTGGAATTTTTCGAGCCGAGCTCGAGTATTTTAAATTCGAGCCGAACTCGAGCTATTGTATTTTTATCGAGTCGAACTCGAGCCTCATAAATCGAGTTCGACGAGCTCGAGCTCGCGAGCTGCTAAAAAAACTATCAATCCAGCTCGATAAGGCCAATGCTCGACTCAGCTTGTTTGTAGCCCTATTTACAACTCAACTCGAATGTTTATTAACGAGTTGGGTTCGAGCTTTTTCTGGGACAAAGTACAAAAAATTACATATATTTTCATTTTAATTGTGAGTTTTAATTAAATGAGCAATAGAATACTATATGGATTTATCAATTTTATGAGTACTAATTAAGTAATTATCAATTAAATGAGTTTGGGCTCCACTCATTTACGAAATTTAACAAGTTCAGTCGAGTCGAGTCGAGTCGAGTCAATCCGAGCGGAGCTGAAGGCTACAATTTGGTGTGGCTTTGAATGCTCCATATAGTTCATGAAGATATTTCTTTCAACAGCTCGAATTATAGCCATTCATAGTTCAGTAACTTCAGTTCATTGGGTTGCATATTATATCCAACATAAAAGGGAAAAAAGGAAATTCACAACGAGATTCTTCTTTCGAATTCGGCCATGGCGTGCGCTGTTGTACGCCAACACAATTGTAGCTACCTATACTCCACACATGCCAGCTACGGCTTCACCTCAACCAATTTCCCGCCGATTTGCAGTACTTTCCAGCTCAAGCGCTCGACAAGACACGGCAATGTTAATCTATTGGCTCGATTTCGAACGTTCCCTAGATCGTCGCCAGCTAACGATAAAACATCCAGCACTATGTGTGAAAAGCCGGAGTCCGGCGCCGGAGACAATCGGGTTGATGCTAGCCGGCAGGATACGGGTCATATACCCGAATCCCCCTCTATTGTCGCACGTTTTAGGTATTCTGATGTTTTTTATTTTTTATTTTTTATTTTTTTTGAGATTTTGAGAAAAGTATTATTTTGGGACTCGTTGTGGGTTTTGCTCAAATTCGTATTTGGTTGTGTTTTGTGACGAGGGTTTGTGAATTTGGAACTTTTTACAGGGAGAGATTTAAGTTGGATGGGCTCGGACTGGAGATTCTTTCTATTGCGCTGCCAGCAGCTCTGGCACTCGCTGCCGATCCCATTATGTCGCTTGTTGATACAGGATTTGTGGGTCATTTAGGTAATTCTCATTCTGTGATTTGGAGCGAAGAGTTTCGCAAGATAATGTTCAGCTTCGTATGGATTTATGATTGATTTTTGAATGTGTAGAGTTGATTTAATGATGCTAGTGATACATACGATGCTCATTAGCACGAGAGTTTGTTAGTTTATGGAACATGTTAGCTGTGTTTTAGTTTTTCCTGATTATATTGTTCTTAACATGGCTTTTGCTTTGTACCTCCATAAAAGGAATCCTTTTTGTTTGTGACGGCCACCAGCTCATTAGAGTCATTTTTTTTAGGGTCTGCTGAACTGGCTGCTGTTGGTGTATCTGGAGCCGTTTTCAACCTCGTTTCGAAGTTATTCAATGTACCTCTGCTTAACGTTACTACATCTTTTGTTGCTGAAGAGCAGGCATCTTTTATGAAGGATGCTGATGTATACGGTCAAGTTGTCAAAGGTAGTCATTCTAATAACAGAATCTGTGTATTGACTTCATAAAACTTTCCGTCAGTTTAGCTTTGCTGTTCTTTTTGAATTCTTAAATATGATTACTTGTGTTTTTTTTCACTGGCAGAGCAGGAAAGTAAGATATTTCTTCCTTCAGTATCAAATGCACTAATCCTTGCTGCAGCTCTTGGGATCATCGAAGCAATTACACTAGCCATGGGATCCGGTTTCTTAATGAATACGATGGGTATACCTGTTGTATGTCTTGCTTAGCTAATCATTGGACTTTGTTGTGACATATTTTTTTGTAGTTGCTACTGCTCTCTTGGCTTCGGTTCAATCAAATGTAAATTTGTCACATTTGGTGATCCTTGAAGAATGGCATTTAGTATATTTGGACAAAAAGTTCAAATGAAAATATAAGTGAAGTTCTGACTTGAGCTGTTGCACAAGTGTGTGTGATGCTCTTGCCTCTCAAATAACAACTTAGTCAGACATATACCCTATAAATAATGCTGATCCAAGTGACTATCTTGTTACAGGCTACAGACTCGTTTTTTCTTTTTTTCTTTTTTCCTTCTGATTCTAGATTTCTTTATAATGATGGATAACAAGTGAATGCACTACAGGAAGACTTTAACATTTTCTTCCTTTAAATCAGCTGTTGATAAGGCCTTTTTCATAATCCCCATTCTGGTTAACCTTGCTGGTTTTCGGCCTAATACAGGATTCACCAATGCGCTTGCCAGCTGAACAATTTCTTACCCTGAGGGCCTTTGGAGCCCTACCAATCGTGGTGTCACTTGCTGCTCAAGGAACATTTCGTGGGTTCAAGGATACGAAGACACCTTTATATGCTGTTGGCAAGTATCACAAATCCATACTTCTCTCTTGAGTAAAAAAACAATTAGTAGTTGAGCACCTGAACAACCTTTTAGAACAATAACGCACCATAGGAACAATCTAAGAAAGCCATGTTCATCTTCTTTTTGTTAAAGAATTTGAAGTATGTGCAATTTTAATATTTTTTTTTTCCATATTAGCAGATATAGATATGTGCTAATATAGATATCCCCTGAACCAAAAATGTAAAAGCTTTCACTGGAATTTAGTTGATGAATTCTATGACATCTAATTCAATCTCTACACAACAACAACAACAACATACCCAGTATATTCCCAACCTATGCTACCTGGACTCGGATATGGGTGGCGTATCGGGTGTGGAGATATGAGCGTCCGACTCGTCAATAGTTTAGAAATCTTGAACATTTTAGCTAAAATGCCACACCCGACACTCATACCCACACCAGTGTTGACACAACATGACACGGGTATTCTTCCTAAATAGAAGAGTCCAGGTAACATAGTTCCCAACTGGTTGGGGTCTGGGGGTCAGTTATACGCAGACCTTACCCTTGTAATTATACAAGGAGGCTGTTTCCGTAGCGACCCAAGGAGCATTGCATCGTTTGATATATTTTTTTCTAGAAACTTCACTAATAGAAGAAATACTAGAATTTAATTGAGTCATTTTGATTTAGTCCATTATTAGCACTATGCCAGGAGAATTGTCAACAATGACTCTTCCAGCTCTATTTGCAATGGACAAAAATGTAAAAGCGTTCGCTACAATGTAGTTAGTTGAAAATATTAACTGCATGAGTTCTGTAATATCGTTGTTAAACTTTTAATAATTGGGGCATCAAAGGTGCGGTCGCATACAGTGAAGTACATCATATGAGGGTGAACCTTGTTGCACTTTAGTGAAGTTCCATCCTAAAACCAATTGGTGATGGGAGGAGTAGTCCACTAGACTTATAAACTAGGTTCATTTACCCTATCGAATCAATGTGGGACGTCACATGCCATATTCTAATACGCTCCCTCACTTGTGAGTCCTTCATTAGCCCAAACCTATAACCGGGCCCGCTCTGGTACCATATCAAATTTTTGATAATCGGGGCGCCAAGGGTGCAGTCCCACACACACAGTGAAGCGCACCATAAGAGGGTGAGCTTAGTTGCACCTTAGAGATGTTCCATCAAAAAACCAATTGGTGATAGGAGGAGTAGTCTACTAGACTTATAAACTGGGTCCATTTACTCTATCAAATCATAGTGAGACAACTTACAAGTAATATTTCAACCATCGTTTTGTCTCTATTCAAGTTGTTGTCCATGACATTGTTTTCTGTTTTGTCCAGGAGCTGGCAATGTACTAAACACAGTACTTGATCCGATATTAATTTTTACATTTGGTCTCGGCATTAGCGGTGCTGCCATTGCTACCGTGATTTCTGAGTACGTCGAGTGATGTGGTATAACTAACACATTAATTGCATCACACATTATATACATAATGAACCCTGTTTTCGTTTAGCTTTATTTGAAATTTCTGTGTGTATATATTTATCATTAGGTACTTGACTGCTCTTATTCTTTTATGGAAGTTGAGCGAGGAAGTGCAGCTTATTGCTCCTAGTATTAGTGGACAGAGGGTTGTTCAGTATCTTAAATCTGGTATTTTCCAATGTAAACTGTAGAACTTTCAAACGTCTAGTTTGCTATATTAATATTTCGTAAATTACGTGTTGTGCCTGCATGAGCTGAATTTTTTGAACTTTTTTTAACATCGTTTATCTTTATCAGGGGCCCTTCTAACAGGGAGAACTCTAGCAGTCCTTATAACGACAACAATTGCTACATCAATGGCAGCAAGAGAGGGTCCCATTCAAATGGCCGGATATCAGATTTGCTTTGAAGTATGGCTGGCTTTGTCTTTGCTAAATGATGCCTTGGCACTTGCTGGTCAGGTAACACCTGTAATGATAACACCATTGATAATTTTTGTAGGGATGGACCATGCAAACCCTCATCTGGTTTAGTATGGATACACCCTTTTTTTTTTTATTTTATTTTATTTTTTTATTTTTTGTTAAAATGATGTTATTTAGGAAATAGCAGAGACCCCACTTGAGGCTTGTCCAAATTACCCATAGTCTCACATGCCACAACACATATTCAATAAAATATTAATTTGAAAGTTTCCAAACGAAGAGACTTTCTCTGAGTTTGGTAATTGGTTCTCATTCTATCTTGCCCTAACTCAGCAGTGCTAAATGTTTCTTGTCACTCTTAGTTTGGTAATTGGTTCTCATTCTACTTTGCCCTAATTCAGCACTGCTAAATGTTTCTTGTGTCTCAACTGATTTTTATCATATTTATCATATTCTTGCTGACATGACAATCTTTTGACAGACTCTACTTGCAAGTGACTACTCTCAGGGAAACTACAGCCTGGCACGTCAAGTGACCTACAAAGTGTTACAGGTTTGGAGTTCTTATTTCCAATTATCTCTTGTATTTTTCCGAAATGTCAAGTTATCAAGTATAAATGATGTACTTGTCTGTCGATCAATTTAAGGCTGTGTTTGGTAAGTATATTAGCTAACTTATAGCTTATTTGATTAGCTTATAAGCTTCTTGTATTCAAATAAGCTTGGTTTGGTAGGACGGGTTTTTTTAAAAAGCTCGAATTTATCTCATAAGTTTTTCTTAGGTAGCTTTTCAAATAAGCTCATTGAAACTTTTATTTCGGCGAGCTTATCGGTTAATTTTACTAAACACCTTTATATCATATAAGCTAGTTTTTTCAGCCATAAGTCATAAGCTATCAGCTATAAGCTCGAAATTCACTTAAAAGCTATAAGCTAGCTTATCAGCTAGGTTTACCAAACATAGCCTATAATGACTGCCTTACGACTTGTCATGCATGCATGAATAAATCAGATTGGCTTAATACTGGGAGCAGCTTTAGGGGTAATTTTGTTCCTTGGATTTGGTGCATGGTGCAGCTTATTTAGCACAGATCCAGAAGTTCTGCGAATAGCCCGATCTGGAACCTTGGTGAGTAATGTATCAACTATATTTGGGGTAATTTTCTTTTTCTTCTTGAGTGAAGTAAAAATCGAGTATCGAAAAGTTTTATCAGATTCATGAAATGATTCAACTAAATGTCTGAAATCTGATGGCCTTTTTTTTCTCTCTTCTACGTTGTAGTTTGTTGCCGGGTCTCAGCCCATGAATGCTATAGCTTTTGTTCTGGATGGGCTCTACTATGGAGTTTCAGACTTTGGATTTGCTGCTCAATCAATGGTAATGTCATATTGTGTACATTTTCTTATTCTTTCTCCAGATATTAGTGAGAGATTAGATTAATGCATTCGGTCATTTGTTAATCAGGTGCTCGTTGGACTAACCTCATCAGCCTTCTTACTGGTGACTGCTCCTTCTTATGGTCTTGCTGGTGTATGGGGTGGCCTCTTTCTCTTTATGACCTTGAGAGTAGTAGCTGGAGTCTTAAGGTAAATTATAATCTGAATATATTTTTCTTATTTCGAGTATTTAAAGGTAAGAATGGGTTTTCTTACAAGATTGTTTTTCTTCAATAATGTTCTTGCCATTCTTTTTTTAACTATAATTGTATTCATGTCAGGCTAAGCACCAGAACCGGACCTTGGAGATTGCTTTTGCTGGACTCGGAAAAGGATAGAACAGAATAATAAAGCTCACATGAAATGACTCTCGACTACTTTGACTAATGTTCATGAGTTTTGCAAGTATTGGTCCTAAAAATCGAGTGAAGTGAGTCTAGCAAAGCTGCTTATGGTGTGTTGCAGATAAAGTGAAAGCAGTGGATAATGATTATTTGAGGCGTCAATAGCACTCGTGCAGTTGAGCTCTGCCTAAACTTAGTTCTTGATATATCGACTGATCAGGCAGTTGTACAGTACGATACAAATGAGCTCAAATGTTAATCAACATTGATTCCATATGTATGTGTAAAGCACAAAACAGTTTTCTTTTATAAATGGTGCTACCTAATGGGATCAGCTTTTAAGTTGCCTGGTGAAGTTATCAAATTTATCAATGCTGTCACACTGTTTTCTTCTCCTGTAAATTATCATATGTTCTTTTATTATTATTATTATTATTATTATTATTATTATTATTATTATTATTATTATTATTATTATTATTATTATTATTACTTTGCAAATATGAGCAATTAATTAATCAATCCATGCATAAGACAACACCAATACCCGTTAAGTTCAGAACTGGATTACATTAAGATAAGTTTTCATTAGAGAAAAAAACCGAGTAACATTAAATAACACGACGACTATTGTACATAAGGAATAAGAACACTATGTTCGATCGAAATACATCCCGGGTTTCTGGAAAGCAAGCAGCAAGATTGGAGTTTTGCTAACGGTTATGCCTTGCGGTCACAGCTTCACCTTTTTCGAAGCAAGAAAAAACAATAAAAAAAATCAATCATTACACAGGCAGGGTGAAACTATAATGAGTCATTCGATTATGTCAATGACGAGCCCTTGATCAGAGCCCTTGATCCGAAGGAGAAAAGCGTAAAGTAAGGTTCCTACTTTGGTTCAGCTTTATTTCGTTAAAATTCTTCATTGGCGATCATTGACGCATTCAATACCTACTAAATAACTTATTTAGTATCAAGCTGTTCAACTATATATTCTTTATGATTTAATATAAAATATGTAAAACGGGTTTAAGTGCTGATATACCAAGAAACTGAAACCGTATTTCAGAATTAAACGAATATGAAGTCCTCCAGCTCTCCCCTTTCACTATTCGTAAAGAAAAAGCTATGTACCACTAATAAAAAGCAAAATAGAAAGGGCAACGGAGGAAAAAAAAAAAAAGAAAGGTAAAGTGCTTGGATTGAAAGGAATCTGTATAAAGAAGCAGGATAAGAGATACAATACTTAAGTGAAACTTTAAACACTTCAAACTAGGTTTGGTTCACTAAAACAAGAGGAGGCCAAACGTTGGTGAATAAAAAGGTAATGTTTGCTCTAAATGAATGTACCTCAGAAGCATTATAAAGCAGTACCATTCTCCTATAAATTTTCAGTTTTTTATCTGTGTATAAGAAATTCTTCCAAGTTCATCCATTTCGATTAACAACATAAGTGACAACTCAAAGTTGCACATTATCCCTCACTCGTGCTAGTTGAGATTTATGTTAAGCAAGATTCTTCGCATCACAAGATCACAATAGCGCCAATCACAAGAACTAACTACACACGATAAATCAAAACAAGCCACACAGCGGCCAAAAGGGCTTAACAAACAAGTCACATTCTCCAAACTAAAAATTAAAATGAAAAACCGAACAGAACACGAAACGGAGCAAGAGCATTACCTTACCCAAGTAGAAAAAAGGCCACCATAACAACATCAGTTCAGACCAGCACATTATTCCAAACCTGCAACTCTACACCTCAATTTCATATTATGATTCTCCTGCAAACCAAACACATAAACCTGTTTTTACCACAAAATCCTCCCAAAATATGCAGAAAAGATCTCATCCTACGATAAATCCATCAATTATGCGATTTAAACTCTCCAAACCTATAAAAAGTTCAAATCTTTTATGCAAAAAAGAGTTCAATATTAATTTAGCAAGATCACCTGCTCTTGAACTTTGGCATTTGTCTGCTCAACCAATCTTGACAGCCCATCAATCTTAGCCAGCATTTTATCATACAAATCCTCGAGCTCGCCCGTGTAAGCCGCCTCCGAGCCCATCAACTTACTAAGCCTCCCGATTTCGAAACCTTCGGCATAATCATCCAATTGGTTCTGTTCTTTCAAGCTGTTCTTCCCATCGGCCGAATTATCCTCAGCCATTGCATTCGAGCCCCTCAATTCGCAGCCCAGCATTGGAAATCGCACGCTAGGGCTAAAAGAATCGTATTGGGACCTGAACGAGGGCCCGAGATTGACAATTTGAAGGGTTTTGGGCTCAAAGGTGCCGCCTTTATACTGAAAGGCTCTGTACTCGTGGGTGTGGATCAGCTGGTCCTGAAACGGCGTCGTTATGAGGAGGAAAAGGGATGGGGCGAGGGAGATGGTGGAGTTCTGAGGGGTGTGGGCGAGGGAGGGGTCTCCGTGGAGGGAGGCGGCGGCGGCGGTGTCTTTCATGGAGGGGCGGAGGGGGGTTTTCCGACGGGCGGAGAAGGAGCCGATGAGGGGGGCGGGGGAGGAGTCGGCTGCGGCGGCGGGGGATGGGAGGGGGAGGTGGGAGGGGAGTGAGAGGAAGGAGGTGACGGTGGCGGTGAGGAGGGAGGCGGCGGCGGCGTCGGAGTCGGCGGTCGGGTGGTCGGAGAGGGGGTTGGAGGTGGTGACGGCGGCATGGCCGAAGAGGTAGCCGTGAATGTCGCCGGCGGAGGAGGAGGAGCGGTGGAGGAGGGAGGCGAGGGTGGCGCCGGAGATCAGGATCTTGTCGATCGGGAAGGCGTCCATCGCTGTTGGTTTTGGTTTTTTGTGGATTTTTGAGCTTTTGAGGTGAAAGTGAGTGTGAAAATTGGGCGGAGTTTTTTTTATCTTTTCTGCTCTTCTAGTCTAGTCTTGAAAAAGATTCGCAATTTGCTCATCAAACGATTCTCAAAATTAATTTTTAGAATGCGGTTGATTTAAAAAAAAAGATAAAAAAAAAAATATATTGAAAATTGAGATAAACATATACTCCTACAAGAATTTTTTGTTTTATTTCACAACTAGTACAACACCCGTGTATTACACGGGTGCTTGCTAATTTTTTTCTTAAAATTTAAAATTAATGAGAAAAAGTAGTTTGAAAATTTAAATACCTTTTATAAAAAAAAAATATATATATATATTATATATTTATTATGATACTTTTTATTTGTGCGACTTACTTGTGTTATATTATACTATTTTTTTAACTTACACTATATAACTACATTAAATATAAATATATCAATTGAGAAATAATTTTATTTTTCTAATAAATTTTAATAAATATTATTATTTTTTATTATTATAAAGATAAATATAATTTATTTATTTTATATATACAATATGGATGTCAAATCGAAGATCATCAAAAGATGATTAATTTGATATATTATATAGGTAAAACCGATAAGAAATATAAAAGTTATCTACTTTTAAAATACATTTATAATTCAATAGCTTATTGAAGGAAACAAATCAAAATTTAGGGATATATTAGTCACTTAGTGTCTCACTATGTAAAATTACAAATAATTAAAGGGTTATATTAGTAAAAGTGATATTAAAATACCTAAGTTAGCTAAATAATATTTATGGAATACCCGAACCTAGATTATTAATTATTAATATATTAATATTATTTGTCCAAACCTAATTACGAAGCATGATTCTTCGCCATATAGGATTCTGAAGCACCAGAAGCAGCCACGTAGGCTCAGCGCATTCTGGAATTATATATAGGGAGGATTTACGATAAGTATATGATTGCATATAAAATGGAAATGAATAATTTTTGCTAGTCTATTTTGAGAATATAACAATTGGATATACTATAACAAAGAAATACAATAATGTAACATTTTTATCATAAATAATGATTGGTTATATATGTCATATTTTAGAATACAATAAAAATAAAATTATGAAAATTTATAGTTGTGTAGTTGGAAATAATGAAATTTTAGAAACACCTCATATCATTTTTCTTATAATTATATTCAAAAGTTACACTATTTACATCTTTTTTATCTCATTAATTATTTTATTATATCCTTTAATTTTTTTGTCCAAATATTGAATATTATTACTTATTTTTTCACAAGTTTTTATTATTACCAACTCTTGTAACTCTACCCCTTATGATGGTCATACAATATTTATCTTTTTTTATACCAAAAAAAAAAGATAAAAATCCAAGTTTTGTATCAAACCCATGAATACCAAAAACATAACTACATCTACATGAGCTAATAAGTAAAAGCGGCTTGTGAAGCCAACAGTGACTCCACCTTCTATATAAAACAAATAAACCTACTATATTAATAAAATTATATTAATGTTATTCTCTTCTTCTTCTTCTTCTTCTTTGGAAAATCTATCCCGTGTCCCGTCCGCCATGATTGCACGCCGGAAGTTTAAATAATCAGAGAATATGGTAGGTTTACTTGTTATATATAGAAAGTTGGCTCCACTATGAAGCCGACTTTCATATAGCAAAACGAAAGTAAAAGATCCAACACTATGCATATGAAAATTAAAGATTTTATAGTAATCTGATCACAAAATCTCTCTCTCTAAGATTTTATTACAAGCCTGATTACAACAAATAGCCACCAACAACAATCAATGCATTTGTATATATACACACTCTGATACTGATTGTACCACTCTTTTCAAGTCTTATTAACCAAGAACACACGCTGTGAGAATTTCAATTTTCAACCAACCAACAAAAAAATCAAAACAAATGAATGAAATAAGATAAAAAAAATAAAAAAAAAAATTATACACACAGCTCAATGAATTTCTTTAAAAAAAAAATATATAAATAAAATTAAACAAATCAATGAATTTCAAATTCTGCAGCAAAACCAGCCTTCAAAAACTTTCACTTACTCTTTGGGGCCGGGCCTGACCTCTTCGACAGAGTCATTCAGGCAGGGTCTGACCTCCTCGAGCTTCTCCATCACCTGCTTCGCATCGGGCCGGGCCCCCGGCGTGGGGTCCACGCAATGCAGGCCCAATTTCAGCACGTTGAGCAGCTCATCCCCAACATCCGAACCAGCTTCCCCCAAAAGCTCCACATCAAACACCTCATTGGTCCATTCCTCCTTAACAATCGAGGCCACCCATTCGGGCAGGCCCGGCCCATCTTCATCAGTCTCGACAGGAGATTTTCCGGTCAGCAGCTCCAAGATGATCACGCCCAAGCTGTACACGTCAGATTTGGCGGTCGGGTTCTTGTTGGGCTTCGAGAGCTCGGGGGCCCGGTAGCCCGTAGTGCCAGCTGTCGCCACAAGCTCTGAGCTGGCAGGGCCCGTGACCAGGCGCGGAAGCCCAAATTCGGCGAGCCTTGGATTGTTCTTCTCGTCTAATAGAATGTTTGTTGAGGTTAAGTTGCCGTGTATAATGTTCTCTTTGTCGTGAAGGTGGTGGAGAGCTCGTGAAGTCCCAATGGCTATGGATAGTCTCGTCGGCCAGGATATGATGGTTTCGGGCCCTCGGGCTGCCGGAAAGATGGAGTAATATATAATAATAATAATAATAAGTCAGTAGTGTTTTTTCCTTTTTTTTTTTTTTTTTTTTTTT